AAAAAAAAAAAAAAAAAACTCACGTTCCCATGTGACCACGTTCGCTGGCAGCCCCTTCCCGAGGTGACACAGGCCTGGCTGCCCCCTGTTGGTCCCTGCAGGCAGTTCACCTTCTCTCCCTGTGACTGATGGGCAATAACAAAACGAGTGTTTAGCATTAGCCGTGTGCCAGGTTCTAAGTGTGTCGCCCAAATTGACTCACATCAGCCTCACAATGACAGTGTGGTAGATGCTGTGATGCCCATTTATTCAAGAAAGGCTTAATGGTGGCCCAAGCCTATCAGGTTCTGGAAATGGAAATGCATCTGGGAACAACACAGACAAAATCCTGTCCTTCCTGGAGCTTTCATTCCGGTGAGGGAACATGGGGCGTGCCGAAGACGGTGGGGGGTGTGCTATTATAGATAGACGGTCAGTATAGGCCTAGCTGAGCAGGTGACATTTAAGCGGAGACGTGACTGCAGTGAAGGGTTAGAAGAGTGTCCCAGGTGGAAAGAGGTGAAGAAACATGCCTGGGGCCACACAGCTAGTTAAGTAGCCAAGCTGGGACTTGAACCCATGCTGGCCCCAGAGCCTGTGCTCCTAACCACTGCATTCTAGGGCTTGATGTGAGATGCCAGCCCTGCCCTGAGATGCTCAGAGTTAGTGAGGAAGAGAAACAGGGAACGTGGCTGCCGTTAGAGGGCTGGGGCTGGGGGTGCAGGAGGCCCCAGCTCTGAAGGTTCCAACTTCCTGTCCTATTCTAGTCTCCTCCCAGGAGGCCGAGATGAATTGCCTGCCTGCCCTGGGCTCTTTATTTTAATCTCAGTAGGGTTCTGGGAGCGCCCACCCACCTCCACAAAGCTCCTGGGCCCCTCCTCCCTTCAAGGATTGCGAAGAACTGGTCGCAAATCCTCCTAAGCCACCAGCATCTCCATCTTCAGCTCACACCAGCCCTGAGCGCCAGCCTGCGGCCAGGGGACCACGCACGTCCCACCCACCCAGCGACTCCGCAGCCGCTGCCCACTCTTCCTCACCCATGGGGAACAGCAAAAGTGGGGCCCTGTCCAAGGAGATCCTGGAGGAGCTGCAGCTGAACACCAAGTTCTCAGAGGAGGAGCTGTCCTCCTGGTACCAGTCCTTCCTGAAGGACTGCCCCAGCGGCCGCATCACCCAGCAGCAGTTCCAGAGCATCTACGCCAAGTTCTTCCCTGACACCGACCCCAAGGCCTACGCCCAGCATGTGTTCCGCAGCTTCGATTCCAACCTCGACGGCACCCTGGACTTCAAGGAGTACGTCATCGCCCTGCATATGACCACCGCGGGCAAGACCAACCAGAAGCTGGAGTGGGCCTTCTCCCTCTACGACGTGGACGGTAACGGGACCATCAGCAAGAATGAAGTGCTGGAGATCGTCATGGTCAGTCTCCCCTCTCCCCTTCTGGCTGGGCGGCGCCGGGGTCACTTGGGGCTGGGGTTCCCTTGCTGCAGAGTGAGTGGAACTGTGGGTGGAGCGGGGGATTCAGGCCACTGGCTCTGAGAGCCTGGTGCTCCAAGAGGCTGATATTGATAGACGGGTGGGCACTTACCCACAGCTTCGTTGTCTTCCTGAAGCAGAATCTGAATATTTCTTAATACATCCATGTTATGCTTTGCTTCACGATGTTTGGGTCATCTATGGACCATATATACCACTGTGGTCCCATAAGCTTGTAATGGAGCTGAAAAATTCCTATTGCCTAATGATGTCATAGCACAGTTACTTTATTTTTTAAATGCATTTAGTGTAGTCTAAGTGTATCTATAAAGTCTGCGGTAGTGTACGGTAATGTCCTAGTTCTTCACATTCACTCGCTACTCGCTTACTGACTCACCCAGAGCAACTCCCAATCCTGCAAGCTCCACTCATGGTAAGTGCCCTAGACAGCTCTACCATTTTGTATCTTGGTGTTTTGTTGTTGTTGTTGTTTTGTTTTTGTTGTTGTTTTTTGAGATGGAGTCTCACTCTGTAGCCCAGAGCTGGAGTGCAATGGTGCAATCTTGGCTCACTGCAACCTCTGCCTCCCGGGTTCAAGCAATTCTCCTGCCTCAGCCTTCTGAGTAGCTGGGATTACAGGCACACACCACCACGCCCGGCTAATTTGTGTATTTTTAGTAGAGACGGGACTTCACCATGTTGGTCAGGCTGGTCTCGAACTCCTGACCTCAGGCAATCCACCCACCTCAGCCTCCCAAAGTGCTGGGATTTACAGGCATGAGCCACAGTGCCTGGCCCATTTTTTATCTTTATACTGTATTTGTACCACATGTTTAGCTATGTTTAGATGTGCAGATACTTACCATCGTGTGACAACTGCCTGTAGCACTCAGGACAGTCATATGCTGCACAGGTTTGTAGCATAGGAGCAAAAGGCTGGACCGTGGAGCCCAGGGATGTAGTAGGCTCTACCATCTGGGTTTGTGCGAGGACTGTCTATGACGTTCCCACATGGAAAT